GATTTAACCCCAAAAATCCACAACTTAACCCCAAAAATCCAGGATTTGACCCCAAAAATCCGGGATTTAACCCCAAAAATCTGGGAATTAACCCCAAAAATATGGGAATTAACCCCAAAATTCTAGAATCTGAGCCCCAAAAATGGGATTTAGCCACAAAAAATGGGATTTAACCACGAAAAACCCAGGATTTAACCCCCCAAAAATGGGATTTAAGCCCAAAAATCCAGGATTTAACCCCAAAAATTCAGGATTTAACCCCTGAAATTTGGGATTTGACCCAAAATCCCGGGATTTTTCCCCAAACCTTGAGCACGGGGGCCTTGGAGGCACAGGTTGCCACCACCAGGAGAGACTTGGGGTTGAGAAATGGGAATTAACCCCAAAACCCAGGATTTAACCCCCAAAAAATGGGATTTTACCCCAAAAATCCAGGATTTAACCCCAAAAATCCGGGATTTAACCCCATAAATTTTGGATTTGACCCAAAATCCCGGGATTTGAGCCCAAACCTTGAGCACGGGGGCCTTGGAGGCGCCGGTGGCCACCACCAGGAGGGACTTGGCCGCGTTGAGGAGCGGCAGCGTCATCGTCACCCGCTGGGGAGGCGGCTTGGGGGAGTCCAGGACGGGGCACACCAGGGAGTGCTGCTCCTGGGAACGGGGAAAAATAACGGGAAATTGGGAAAAAATGGGGGAATAACGGGAAATTGGGGAAAATGGGGGGAAATAGAAAAAATCCAGGGAGAAATAACACAACAAATGGGGAAAATAATGGGAAAAATGGGGAAAATAATGGAAAAAACCCAGGAAAAATGGGGGAAATAATGGGGAAAATAATGGGAAATTGGGAAAAAATTGGGAAAAAAACAGGGGGAAATCATGGGGGAAATAGCACAAAAAAAGGGGAAAATAATGGGAAAAATGGGGAAATCTGGGGGAAAAGAGGATGGGGAGGGCTTGGGGGAGTCCAGGATGGGGCACCAGGGAGTGCTGCTCCTGGGAACGGGGAAAAATAACGGGAAATTGGGAAAAAATGGGGAAAAAACAGGGGGAAATCATGGGGGAAAAAACAGGGGAAAGAGCAAAAAAAAAAAGGGGAAAATAATGGGGAAAATGGGGAAAATAATGGAAAAAAACCCAAGAAAAATGGGAAAAATAATGGGGAAATAATGGGGAAAATAATGGGGAAATTGGGAAAAATCCAGGGGGAAATAACACAAAAAATGGGGAAAATAATGGGAAAAATGGGGAAAATAATGGAAAAAAACCCAAGAAAAATGGGAAAAATAATGGGAAAATAATGGGGAAAATAATGGGGAAATTGGGAAAAATCCAGGGGGAAATAACACAAAAAATGGGGAAAATAATGGGAAAAAT